ATTCTTGTCTTTTGGGATTCTACTGAGAATCCCCTGCCCTGTTCCCGGGCGGATTGTTTGTTCTCATTTATTTATTGATTCAATATTCATTCTTTGTGGGCTTCTGCCCTACATGATGCACTGGGTCAAAAACAAACACAAAAATATATGCAATGCAGTATATTTATTCTTGTTGGCTCGTTTTCGTTCTTTGCATCATAATCTAACGCGAAGGAATGTGAAAACAGCACAAGAACGATGCGAAAAATTGGACATGTTTGTTTTGTTCACTGGAATATGAAAAAAAAAGTTCTTTTTTTAAGGTTAACAGTTTTGAAAATTCAGGGTGGACCGCAAAAACTTCGTGATCAAATTCAGAGCGACAATAAATTATTTCGAAATTTGAGAAGGCGAATTCAGGCTCAACTCAATCGCTTTTAAACGGGATTTATTCGATTTTTGTCACATAACGTCATACCTTATGGCTGCCAACGGGAATAAAAAAAATAATCGGCAAAAAGGCTTCAACCATATCAGCTGTTCCTTCAATCGATCACATTTTAAATAAATATTGACACTCTGGCTTCAATTAGTCCATGTTTTCCATTTTTAAATCGCACGAAGAATCATTTTCTGTTTTGTTGGACTAATATTTCTATCATCAATCTGAAAACCCATTTTCCGCAAATTTTTGCCACAAAGATTTCCATACATAACGAAAATAATGTGTACCATATAAACTGATAATTGAACGTTCATTTGAGACTTAATTTAAATTTCTAGCCTTCATAATTTGTTCAACATGGTGGTTTTCAATATCGGTACAAAATTTTCTCATGTCGTTTTCGATTCGCAGTAGACCTTCAAAATATTCTTTCAGCCCGTAATAAAATTTCAAATCAATAGAATTAATCCTCGCCATAGTTTTCAGTTCGAGCAAACAAGAATTCAAATTTGAAATTTAGTTCGGAAGTGTTTATACTGAAGAAGATAATGACTGAATGATCGGAATTAACGGACAAATCCAACGCCAATTTCTTTTTAAAAATAAATTCAAGGACGTTAAATTAAAAGTATGTCTCTAATGCGCCGTAAAATTGTTTCATAAGGACACCTTTCCTAAACTTACCGTACAATGGACTCACTTACACCATGATATGTTAGCTTTTGTGCTACTGCAGTCGGCAGCAAAAGGTCACGCTTTTGTAAAGCAGAAAACTGTGCTTCCAGAGTTCCGGAATTCATCAACCAAAACAAAAATCGCGCTCTCGGATGCCCTCAACCGAGAAAACCAATAAGCTTTACACTTCATCTCCTAATGTAACAATTTTTTTTTTTTTTCAAATGGTTCAGCGTTGACGGGGAAAGTCTTTCTTGCCAAAAACTGCGCGGGTGACATCGCATGCATCGGCGTTGGAACAGGTTCTTGTTTCTCATTAGCCTCGATTTTTCATAAATTGTAAAGCTGCGCTTCATGTCTACGAAGTTTTTCATAATGTCATGCATGAAGGTGCTTTGACTCGACCATTGTGTACTACGTGCCGTCGACTCCGCGAACCTGTTCGTCGCTGTGGATCATACGCGCCGACATTCTCAAAAGAGATATATATATATCTACAACCGCTGCAGGTGACGCTAGAATCGCATGAACCAGGCTAACAATTGCAGATCTTTCTCCTCATCCAAACTTCATGAGTGAAAAAAGATGTGAGTGTGACACTGGCAAATTCTTCCAATTCAACATTCTCCGAACAAGATCACTACTCAAATCATTGAAAAACTCAACTGAGAACTGAAAGTCTCCCAAACGTGAAGAAGATGCTGTAGAGAATTTTACCGCTTAATTTTAACCAGTTTCCTCAAGCCCAAAATTCTCCCATTTGTGCTAAATTCATGAATTTCTTCTTTTTTACTTAGAATTTTGCGTTGGTGGGATGAAATTTTGTACGATTTAAAGTCAGAGTAAAATAGAAAAAACACGCTCAATTCGAATCACGACATTAAGCACTTTTGTTCCCTACAGTCAAAAAGCGCTGAAGTAATGACAGTATGACACGCATTACTTTCTCTCAAATTTCTCAAAAATTCTGGCTAGAAACAAAAATCTCGATCCATACTCACCAAAATGTATCAAATAAGATGCCATCCAGAAGCACTATAAATACACTTATTCACAATGACCGAATTATTCCCCCGTAAAAATGCGCATCACAATCAGATGATTATCTCCGAAGGAAAGCGAATATGCGAAGTGCAACCAATCACCTTCATTTAAAACTGAAATCCAATTCCAAAATTATGAGGTATTTCGTCAAAAACATTTGAATGGAATAAAGATTATTCAGAACAGAACCTCCAAAATTCTATGCCTATAATTGTCACGCACACATTTCATTCCCGCATCGTGAAGTTAGATCACTGAAAATTCCAGGACTCAAAAATATCAACGTCAATAAAGTCGAATTTCTTTTCACGGCTGTCTCAAGAAATTGCGAAGCAAAAGACCAAAGCGAATCAATCTAGGAAAACAAGAACACAAATCATAGCTGTAATTCAAAATTCGCAACGCATGCGAACAGAACTAAAGAACGCCCCAAAAAGGAAATAGCCAACTTTTCGAACAAGCCCATCGGGAGAAAAAATCTGTTAATCCTTCATTTGACAATTCGCGATTTTACTTCGTAGAAGCTATGGATTTCGGCTGATTCATCAAGAAACAGCCGACAAAATGAAGAACACGAGATGTCACGTTCCACTCCTCATTTTACGTCGCACTGATGTCAAAAGATTTCCAGCGAATCCAGGTGAAAAAATGCCTGATTTGAGTCACGGTTTCCTTGTTAACAGCGTCAACACTAGCACATCTTCCCGACTGTTTCCATCCAAAGTTGCTTTTCCGCAAGCAAGCACAGAACTATTGCGTGTCTCACTCTCCCACACATGGAAATCGAACATTGTCCAAGGAGACACAAACAGGATTGCACTCCAACCGGTTTTCAACGAACCACTTACAGCTTCTCGATCAGGATCGACGAAGCACCACCACCTCCATTGCAAATCGAAGCTACACCTTTTTGACCAGCTTTCAAGGTGTGGACCAGATGCGTCACAATTCGCGCTCCAGACATCCTGAGAAAAATACAAAAGTCATAGAATTACTGGGAAAAATCATATAGATACACGTCCATTCCCTTCGTCAGGAAGTGTAATGAGGAAACAGGCCACGAAATCGAAAATAAAAAACGAAGTAAAAAAAATCCTGCGAATTACATCCACTCGGATACTAAATACTGTTTTCACTTGAAACCCTAATAACGAACACGACTTAATAAATACTGTACAATTTTCGTACCACACGCAAAATTAAAAAAAAAAATTGGACGAAATCATAGCACGAAGAATTCAATTTCCACAAGAAGCCAATAAAATTATTAGAGAAATCTTCTACGAACAGCTTTTCTGAAAAGCTGCATGACACTCCGCAGCGGATCCCTTCCAGTGTAATCCAAAATCTTCCCCGAAATTAAACAATATAGGCCCAACGGGTTTGTAAATAATGCCAGAAATTTTCGAACTCACCCAATGGGATGGCCTAAACTGACAGCTCCGCCATGAATGTTCACTTTGCTGGGATCGATATCCAGCATTTTGATATTCGCTAGAACTACAACACTGAACGCTTCGTTGATTTCCCACATTGTCACATCTTCCTTCTTGACTCCGGCGAGTTCCAATAACTGGAAAAATTAAAATTGTGTTTCAATTCAGACACCACTTCAGTATCTATTCCAATCTCGTCAATCAATCACGGATTTCTGGATGATGAATCTAAAGGATATTATCTTACAAGACACAAGTTGGTTTTCCGCGATTCGACGCAGAAAATAACATACTAGGAATTTTTTTCGCGGTAGACAACTGACCTTTGGAGTGGCAAAGGCAGGTGCAATCGGAAAGTCGATTGGTTCAGTAGCTGCATCAGCACCCGCAACAATTCTCGCCAAAGGCTTAAGATTGTATTGCTTCAGAGCCTGTTCATTTCGGCACTCGCGATGAAAACATCACCGCCGATCGTGGAGAAATGTCTGATCTGACCAAGAGGGTTCATTATGTGCCGTCCACACAGAATAAACCCCGTTTCCAAAAATCAAGATACCTGCAAGGAGAAAGGTACAGAATCAACATCTTTCTAAATCGTCAGAGGCACCAGAGAACAGTTCTAGTCCCTCCGATTCGGTGACTGGACGTTATGGTACACTTTCAAACTCAACGCAACTCACTTCCACGCTGCCCCTCCAGAGGGCTGTTCCCTACCACTCCATCCCTCAACGCCAAAAATGAGTGACTTCATGAACTGCACATGCTTGCAGATACAAATTACATGTTGAAGAATTGTGTAGGAGTAGGAAGATAATGTAATATTCAATACAGTACTTTCCTGTTATCTCTGTACCTCATTCCTAGACTGCATTACCATCCAGACAAATTTTTAGGACAAGTTCATAATCACAAGAACCTACCAAAAACTGTGAATTTTATTTTCTGCATAACCTGACCTAACCTAACTTTACCTAACCACCTCCTAAATATCATATATCTTTAATTAACATAACCTGACCTAACCTAACTTTACCTAACCACCTCCCAAGTATCAAATATTGTTTAATTAACATAATCTGACCTAAACTAACTTTACATAACCACCTCCCAAATATCTTTTAATTAACATAACCTGACCTAACCTAACTTTACCTAACCGCCTCCCAAAATCAGTTTCAGCAGAATGCAGAAAAATAAAATTCACATCTGTTGTGTTTATGAATTTGTCCTAAAGATTTGTCTGGATGGTATAGTGTGGTCTAGAAATGAGGTACAGAGATAACAGGAAAGTACCATATATTTTATTTATTTTAAAAAGGTGTTTTTATATGTGCACTATGTTATTTGTCCCTTGGAGTCTGTTTACATTTTACACCGGCTAAGCATTGCAGTCGAAGTCACTCAATGAGAGGCTGGCGCTCCTAGGGGTGGTGTGGAAGAGGTAGCGTTGAATGGAGCTGCGTTGAGTGGAAGTTGTACCATAACGTTGTGTCACGCTCCGATTCCGCAGTGAATCTGTGCTTCGTGAACTTTTGGTCTGTCAGGCAGTGGACTGAGATCCAGCTGATTTCAAAGTAACGCCGCCATGACTCCAAGCGATCCCGACATCTATGAATAACAATAATTTTCACACTCCACTGGTAGATGTCACTGCAAATATCCTGAATCGCTGCTTAATCTTTCTGGTACATACAGCATCCCTTCTCCTCGCAACTACAGATACGGGAGTAGTGCTCGAAACGTATAGAAACCATAAACTTTTTTGGTTGACCTGACAACTCGAAATGAGTAACTTCACTAGTATGTAATTTCAAGTGGGGCACTTGAACGATTTGATGGCGATGATGCGTTTCCAAGTCAAGATGTCGCTCCCAAATTCACTTTTCTGTTCATTCAACATTCACTGATAACATCAATGAAAATTGCATCCAAACAGAGGGACAATCAGCAGCATCAGCATTTGACTAACTGTACATTCAATTCTAAAAATCACCAACTGTATACTCCTTCAAGAGCCATATGGTGTTATGTTTACTCTGCAGAGTTAGATATTAAGTGCCTTGTCATGTTCTCCAGTATCAATGCGCAGTGCATCATCACATTGCACCCAGAATATCACTAAAGTCAACAAGGTACCACAATACTCATAACAGTATTTGAAGGACAAACAATATCCAAGTACTGAATTCCAAGAAATGTATCATTCTAATGACTAAACCAAATTACTTTCAGGTTATTGGATCATTGCATCCAACCTGACGGTTAAACATACCTTCATTCTCATTTTCATGACATCTATAAAAACAAACTTTTCAAGAGCACCCATGAAAGTAGCCTGAGGCAAACGCACTAGAGTCATACATTTCCTCTTGCCACAGGATACACACATAAGTCTTCCCAGGTTATCTACAATACACAGTATTTGCTGCCAGCATGACAGGTCATTCATCTCACCCCTCCTACAACGTTCCAAGGTGAATCTCAGATCATCAGATTAACAAGAAGAAGCAAACCATAGGGGACATTCCCAAGAATCTCCCTGAAAATGATTTTATTGATATAACTTTGAACAGAAAAATACCTTGCACCTCCCAAAAATGTAAGGACCAGTACAAGCAGCAGTTTTGCACTCCTGACATTCTTATCATCAAATGTTCCTTCATTTAGGTATCAGGTTGGCATTTTCAAACAGAAAAGAGCCCAAGAAACTTTACACAGAGCAAGTGAGTATCAGAGGCATCAAATGCTAGAGTTGTGTAATTACTGTATTGTAATCCGCCATTGCAAGGCTTGAATTGTTTCAATATTTGACACAATACTGAATTATCTTCAAATACCAAGATTAATTTGAAACTTTTCATATATTTTTATATTCTGCAGTTATGCATTAGTCTGATAATAGCTCCCACTTCCACCAACTCTTTTAAAATATAAATTGTTTGCATAGGGTCAAAACCTGGGCTCATACTTATTTTGCTAAATCATTCATTAAAATTGCTAATCTCAGTTTCAAGAATCTTTGGCAACAATTTGTGAATAAATACGGATCAAAGATTTAATGATGGTGTGTGTTGGGCCCTATAGTACAGTACAGTACTTGGCATTATTATTTGCATGAATTATTCAAGAAAGCAAAAAAGAATGTTTAGCAATTCACAGCAACAGCTTATTAAATCGGATGCTTGACTACAGTAATCGATTCCTCATTACTAATAACGATTTAAACCACGTCATCTCTCAAAAAAAAGAAGGCCATTATTTTGAATACCAGTGCAAAAAATTAAATCAAATGTGTTGAAATGTCAATAGCTATCAGCAAAGGAACTCGGATTAAAGAGCATAAATCAACTTCGTATTCCAGAATGCCGAGACAGTCAACATCATCAGCCAACACCAGTAGTTAATGCACACAAATGGTCCCTGGGCTTCAAAAAAGTTTTCCTACTGGAAAGTTTCTGGGAAATATGTTCAAGGAATAGAACTCGAAAAATTAATTACATTACTGTGTTTTAAAAAAGCGGTCTTGTCATGCAGATTTGGACATTTTGGGGGAAGAAATTTCACAGTTTGATTCCTTGAAAGGCTTTATTTTTTTTAAAGAAAGAAATCTATTAGTTGCTGCTACAAAAACAAAGTAATAAAGGGAAAACACTAGATTGTTGATTTTTACTAGTTTGGACTATTGGACAATTACAATTATGATGCTTTTGAATATCCTTTGCATTTTTACTTTTATTTCATATACACAATCTGTATCATCCCAGATTGAAGTTGAATGTTCAATTAATGGCATATTTGTGCACAACAACAATCTCTACAACAATTTGTGTTTTGGGAGTTCTAATATTTTTGCAGTGAATGTAGCTCCCATGCCAACTTCCTCCAGTAAATCGTCATCATTTATAAAATAAGCCCTGCCACTATTTAAAGATATTGCTTCAAAATAAATTTATTCTTGATTTTTTATGTCTTTTTCAAGCTGAAGGTTCTACAGTATTTCTTGCTAATCCATAAATTTGTGTGAGGTCATTACCCTAAATTTTAAAATTAAGCATTTCAGCCTCCTCACTCTTTTTCTAATTCTTTTGTCCCTGATCTGCACCTTTTGCAGCCATCTGGATTTTTTTTTACATTTCAATCCAAGTGTAAAAAGTTCAGAACACTTAACACTTGCTCAAAAAATTGCAGGCCAGCTATAAACTTGAAATTGTGCTTTTTCAATTGTCATATTTTCTACATTTCATATAAGGGTTAATGCAACAAAGAATTTACAATTTTCAGCTGGCCTGACACAGTTTTAGCACCCTCTGACATGGGTTGAGAACTCAGGCCATCAGTGGAAAAGGTTCCACCTTTAGTCATGCAGTAAATTTACAAAAATTTAATACCTGAAAAATAAAACAAAAACTGTAACTATTCACATGATGCTTTCCTTCATTTCTCTTTTCTTGGCCAATTAGAGGCCAGGAAATCTGAAGGAATGTTTTGTCAGATCATGTGACCAGAAGAACAGACCATATCCTGATATTGATGAATTTTATTTTGAATCAATATTTAGTCTTCTCAGAACTCTTGAAGAGGAATCGTCTCTTTTTTCATCTGATTTGTGCACACATTTGATTTTCTGTTTTACTTGAAGTGATTTCCTGTGTGTGTTCATTTCATTGTGTTGAATTCCCTGATTTCTGAATTTCCTTGAAGTGAGAAAAACCTGAATAAAATGTATCACAAAACTTTAGGAACTTATCTTCAAGGTGTCCCTTTGCCCATGTTTCATTCCATTGAAATCCTGTCAACTTCTGAAATCTTGAAGGATCAAGATAAATTTTTGGCCTTATATGATTTCTCATCAAAGATTCTCTCTAAATTGTTCATTCAACTAAAACTCATACAGAAGCAGGCTGAAGACTTTGTGATTTAAATAAACTTTTANAGTGTGTACCACCATTGAAAGCATGGGACTCAACAAAATGTCCATTTTCCTGAAAATTTTTAAATATGACCAGGTCATGAACAGGCTTCAAATACCTTTGTAAAAACTTACTTGTCTTGGAAGAAAGTTAAAAACATGTTGCAAGCTATCATTGCTCTGACTTAGAGTGTCCCTGGAAAATGCATTTTCTGCTATCTTTCCATTCCTTTGATTGTCCAACATTAGGGATTCTATCTTCTTTTTTACAACTGGATTTATGTGATATTCCCCCATGGGAAATATCCTTTGAATAATTGGAATTGACATGAGCAGCAAACCAAAAATCAGAATTGCGCCACATATGAACTTGGCAATTTTCCTTGGATCCACATGCTCCACAATTCCAAATTTCTTCAGCATACCAAATATCAACACACCAACAGTAGTTGTAATTATCCTAATCAGATAAATTGATTTGAATGCTCAAACTGTATACAATTTGCTCAAATAAAAAAAACACTTACATACTGCTTTTGTTGAGCACGATTCACAGAAGAAATGATTCCACCAGATATCTC